CTGTACACTTATTTTGGTACTGTTACTACCCAAAAAAATATATATATTTTGGGGTAACTTTTGCAAATTTGTGATGAGTTTTTATATTCCAGTTTTTCTTTGTTTTGGGAAAATGTGTTGTTTGCTTTTATTGATACAGAGACAAGTATCAGTGATGGGTAAAATTGACCCCATGGCGGTTCTAGTGTTAAATCGCTGATATAATTTCTATTTTACCCTCATTACTCTTAATTATTTTAACTATTATATCTATCATCAGATCAGATATGACATATTGATGTTATTTTTGTTTTGATTTCTGTTGTTTTTTCCTTTTATTATTACCATTGTAAATAATCTAATAAATGGTGTTTTCTAAATGCATCTTCCTGTTATACAATAAATGATTTAAAAAATATGTGTTATTTGGTTCTCGCATTCACAGAGGCGTAAACTATCAGGATAACTACTGAACATTCTGATCATAAGTTTTTACGCTTTAAAGAAGCTTGTCAGAACGTTCCAGGTATTACTGTTGTTGTAATTGTGTTATTGAGCATCAGTAACACACTGCAAAACTTACTTAGAAATATAGTTTTGTTTTGTTTTTTTGGAAATAATGCATTAGAATTAAGCAAGTTTTTGTGGTAAAACAAGCAAATTAATATGATTTAAAGCTGAAAACCAAAAGATTACTTTGCTTCCTCCATTGGCAGATTATTTTGCTTCTTTTAAGGAAAAACGGACTTAATTTGTACATATTATTTCTGAAAACAACACATTATTTCACTTGTCAATAAGAATTTTTAGATATTAGAAACAAGACATTTCCCAGAGACAGGTTGGGAGGGCATCCGCTATGTAAAAAATGTGCTGGATGGGTTGGCGGTTCATTCCGCTGTGGCGACCATGGATTAATAAAGGGACTAAGCTGACAAGAAAATAATTGAGAAACAAGACAAAAACTCAGCGTATGTGTAATGCATAAATATGCGTGCATTAAAATGTGTTGCTTCTTTAATATAGCAATGTGGAAATCGCCGTGACATCTGATGGAAACACAATAGTATGTTTTCATCCAGCAGATGACGTTCCCTATGAGCTCACGCAGGTGCGTGTGTAAACTTATTTAACTTTAAATGCATTAATCTTCATGCATGTGCAGAATTATGTGAAAGTCTTCACACTGATGTTTGTGCTTTGTTGGTTTAGCCTATCGTCAGACCAGACGCCATCAGCGGTCATGCAGAAACACATGAACAAGTGCTCAAAGACAGACTCGGTAAAGCTGTTCTAGCAGACAAAAAGGCTCCGACTATTGAAGAGCTCAGTAAGATGTTTTACACAACCAAACACCGCTGGTACCCTGTCGGACAGTAAGTTTTCAGTCTGTACAATACAAAAATATAATCGTTTCGCTCTGTTACAAGTGATGTGCTGATTAAATGGTTTGTGTTTTCTCTTTCTCTGACAGATTTCACAACAGACGCAGGAAACTAAATCCACCCAAAGACCGATAGATCTGGATTTGTTTGTGTTTTCTGTATTCTTGTGCATGCACTGACTCAATAAATCCTTTGTTTAGCTGTTGCTGCAGATATTTGTGTCATATAATTTGTTAATGATCAATTAAACACCATTAAAATAAGCATTCAATATTTAAAAACAGAAATCAATGATATTTTTAATCTTCATATTCCTGGATCATTTAAAGTACTTTATCTAGAAGATACTCCTATTAATCTTAAAAAGGAAGGTAGATGTCTATTTAAGATATTTTTTGGCAACAAGAAAAATTGCTATAACTGGAAATGGTATAAGAAGAGCCACCAACTATAGATGAATGGTTCAAAATTAAAGCAGAAGTTAAATTTTCCCAGAGAAGGGTTGCGGCTGAAAAAGCATCCGCTGTGTAAAAAACGTGCATTTAATATTTAAAAACAGAAATGGTGCACTCCGCCATCGATGATATTTTTGATCTTCATATTCCTGGATCATTTGAAGTACTTTATCTAGAAGATACTCCTAATAATCTTAAATAGGGAGGTGTTGTAAAAAAAAATAAATGAGTGAAAAGAAGAGAGAACCCAGTCCAGGAGACTCGAAACAAGCAGAATTCCTTTATTGAGACGTGTTGGTTAATCTGCTGTGTCTGCAAGAGCCTACTAGAGGTCCGCAGTCTGCAAGCTCTATCAAGAGTCTGTCACAAGTCTCTCGCAAGTCTGAATTAAGACAAAGATTTCATGTCTATATTGTGCATTATAGCATGCAAATTAAGAGTTGTGGTCGGCAGGGTAAACTGCTTTTTCAGGCCTGATCTCATCGTGTTCTGGAGACAGAAACCGCCTGACCAGTTGATCGAAAAGAGAAAACAATAGACACGACCATGCTGTGAAACTGACAATTTGCATTACTTTGGAGACAGACAGGGTTCAGGAAAACCAAGACATTTTAAAGTCCGTCACACCCTAAAAACAACTTTTCAGTTATATATATAGATGATATAAATTTATATTTCCACAAAGGTAAATGTCTATTTAAGATATTTTTAGCAAAAAGAAAAAAAGCTATAACCGGAAATGGTATACGAAGAGCAACCAACTATAGATGAATGGTTAAAAATTTTAGCAGAAGTTAGGGAAATTTTCCCAGAGATGGGTTGTGGCTAAAAGGGCATGTGTTGCGTAAAAAACGTGCTGGATGGGTTGGTGGTTCATTCCGCTGTGGTGACCCCGGATTGATAAAGGGACTAAGCTGAAAAGAAGATGAATGAATGAAAGTTAAAGAAATGGAAAAAATGACACATGCACTTTCATTACAAGTAGAGACCTTTAAAAGAAATGGAGTAAATGGCTGGCTTTCTCCTCAACGACAGAGAGGGGTCTGAATGCAGACCTGGTGCAGTGCAATCTGAGCTGCATTCAATGCTTTTTAATGCACTCACCTAACCCCACCCCTAACCCTACCCTTCACAGTGACGTCCTTCACTCCATTGAGTGCATTGTGTCTGATAGTGAATCGCTGAGTGATGCAATCTCAGCTTGCATCATAATAAAGGCTGCATCCAGATACTATTGCAACGACAATATAATTATTTATAGTTGAACATTTACATAACTAAGAGGTTATGTTGTGAAAATATGTTTGGCAATCTTTTATGATATTTTATGCTTATTTGTTTTGATTATGTTAATTTAATATTTTTATATACGTATGTATATGGATATACATGTGTGGAATGGATGTATTTGCCTATATAAGTATGAATATATAGGTATATTTATGTATATATGTATTATTTTTCATTTGTCTGTTTAGTTCCCACTGGTTATATGTTCCTAAAAAATCAATAAAAACTAAGTAAAAAAATTAAATAAATAAATATTTAAAAAAATAATTTAGTTTTTTAATTTAAAAGTAATTTAATTTAGCCTGTAGTTTTCATGTAGCTTAAACTGATGGAAAAATAATAAATAAAGTACATTTAAGAGCTGATTAAAAATGCATTAAACTGCTGGAACTCCAAATTGAGAAAAGAAAGTATCATGATCTTATATTAGTCATAATAATGTGATTTTAGGACAGTTTAACATTTTTAGAAGAATTTGCTATTTTAAAATATAAACGTAATATAAACAATATTTAAGGTGGTGGGCCTGCAGGAGGATGGTCCCACCAGGTGGAGGTGTTCAAGGATCTTGGGGTTTTGTTTATGAGGAAGGGAAGGATGGAGGTGAGAGGTGTATTGGTGCAGCAGTAATGTGGTCGATGTGCTGCTTTGTTGTGGTAAAGAAGCAGCTGAGCCGACAGGCAAAGCTCTAGATTTACCAGTCAATCTACAGTCCTACTATCACTTACGGTCATGAGCTTTGGGTCATGACCGAAAGGACAAGATCTCGGATACAAGCGGCCGAAATGAGTTTCCTTCGCAGGGTGGCACTCTTATGTGAGGAGCTCTGACAGTCGGGAGGAGCTCAGAGTAGAGTCGCTGCTCCTCCACATTGAGAGAAGTCAGCTGAGGTCGCTCGGGCATCTGTTTCTGATGCCACCTGGACGCCTACCTAGGGAGGTTTTCCAGGCATGTCCCACCAGGACGAGGCCTCTGAGAAGACCCAGGACACGCTGGAGGGACTATGTCTCTCGGCTGGCCAGGAATGCCTTGGGATCCCCCCAGAGGAGCTGGAGGAAGTGTCTTGGGAGAGGGAAGTCTGGGGTTCTCTCTTAAAACTGGTGCCCCTGCGACCCCGCCCCGGAAAAGCAGATGAAAATGCATATTTTCTTGTGTCACTTACATTTTAATTGTCTCAGCCTAGTTAAAATAAAATGTGAAGTCAGAATACTGCTTTCTAAGTAAAACATTATTAATACCCTCTTAACCAAAGCAAGTCTATTTATGTAGATATATGTCTACATTTCATCACCTCACAGCAAGAAGGTGGCCCGGGCTGGGTCAGTTGGCATTTCTGTGTGGAGTTTGCATGTTCTCTCCATGTTGGCGGGGGTTTCCTCCGGGTGCTCCGGTTTCCCCCAAAGTCCAAACACATGCGCTATAGGGAATTGAATAAGCTAAATTGACCGTAGTCTATGTGTGTGAAAGATTGTGTGGGGGTGTTTCCCAGTGTTGGGTTGCAGATAAGGTCCCATATGGGGATCATAAACCAGAACAGCTTTATTGCAAGTAATTTGTCACTACAAAATGAGCTTCCAGAACAAAAATACAGTGTAGACATAAATAGAAATATATATATAATAAATAACAATAGTATTAAAAAGAGAGGGGAACAGTGTGCATATGGTATTTAAATATAAATATAAAAATTAAAAAATTAAATAACACACGTTATAAATAGTACAGATGAATTTATGAATAATTGTAGGACTAAGCCGAAACGAAAATGAATGAACGAATTTATGAATAAGATTATAGAGCGCACACAAAATAAACTTGCATTCAACGCATGGAAACTACATTTCCCAGAAACCCCCACTGAAGCGGATGATGACGGTTTTTTACCGGAAGACTCACGCGCATGCGCTGTCAACCTCAACGCGAGGAGCAGGGAGCGGGCCACGGTGCAAACCGCATTAATAAAACGAGATGGCTGGATTGCCGCGCAGGATTATTAAGGTATATTTCCTGTAATGTTTCTGTTGTCCGATCTGTTAAAGTATTACTTTTTAATGCGTAAATGATGCGTTAAAAATCTGGAAAATGGCACGTGCTGCTGCTCCTGCTGGCCCTGCAGGGAGGCTCCCCGCGCTCACTCTGTAAAACATCAACATTTCAGAACATACTGGGAAATAAGCGTACTATAAAGATGTGTGTTTTGCAGCAAATGTCTTTGCCTTGTAATCTAAGCCAGCAGAGGTGCATTTCTGTCAGCTGATGATGGTCTGGGTGTGTTTGAGCCTCTGCAGGACACATGAACGTGTTTACAGATGCAGAAATTACATTAAACGCCGGACAAACAGACTTGATGATGAGATACTGAGAGCTATGCAGTAATCAGAGTGTACATGCCAACAGGGCGTGCCTTCAACTGCATTGAGAGTCAACATATGGTTATTCAATCAGTGCTTAGCTTGTGTTTTGTTTGTTTTCCTAATATTTCATAGCGTATATTATTATTATGGTCATATCTGATTCACACTGCAGCTAAAAACTGCCCGGAAGTGACAGTATGATTGACTTAATTTGACCATCTACAGTTCATTTTGTTTTGACGTGCTATTTGGTTGGTCTATTTAATATTATACTAGTCATGAAATTAAATGTACCCCTTTTTTCAATAAATGGTTGTTCATTAATTAAAGGGGTCCTATTATGTCCCCTTTTACAAGTTGTAAAATAACTGTATAATGTCACCCAGAGTATGGGAAATTTCAAAATACCACACTAATATTGTTTTATAGCTCTCTGAAACGGACCATTTTAGGCTTTGATGCTAATTGTGCTGTTGTGGTGACTGTCGCTTTAAATTTAAATGAGATCGTGCTCTTTTCAAAAGAGGGTGGGGCTACAGATGCCTATGAGTCAGCATAGTGGTACCTATAGTGGTAAACAAGACTAATGTCCTATGCTAATGAGGGAAAGATGATCACCAGTGGGCGGGGCTTTCCCCATTTATATGACATGTACAAAGAGAGAATGTCAATCAAAGTGTTTCTGCAGATGGTTTTTATCAAGTGTGTTCATCAGCTCACCAAAAACAAACCCGTTAGCATATACAGTGGACTGTAAATCAAGTGATTTTAATATATATATATATAAAAAAAAAGATGGCACACACTTGAATTCAGCTGATTTCTGTGAAACAAACTCATCTCCATGCATTGTTTTCTCACTTGCATGTGTTTGTACAGGAGACGCAGCGCTTGTTAGCCGAGCCTGTGCCAGGAATCAAAGCGGAGCCAGATGAGGGGAACGCTCGTTATTTCCATGTGGTCATCGCTGGTCCGCAGGATTCACCATTTGAGGGCGGGACTTTCAAACTGGAGCTGTTCCTCCCAGAGGAGTATCCCATGGCGGCTCCAAAGGTCCGATTTATGACCAAAATCTACCATCCCAATGTGGACAAACTGGGCAGGATCTGTCTGGACATCCTGAAAGGTGATTATAGTGTGTTCAGCTAACTCTGTAAAGCCAGATAAAAGAAAAATAAAATATGGGACCTTCAGATAGATAGTATAAAGAGTTTACACATAAGTTGGCTTTTAGTGCTTGTGTAATATTATATGGTCAAAATTAATACAACAAATGAACTAATAAATCTTTCTCTTAAGACGCAAGATGTTTTAGAGGCTCTGGAAAATCTTTCCACCTCTGAGGAACACTGAAAGTAAAGGTTCTGGAAAAACATTATTCATCAAAAGCCTGATTGATAATTGATCCTAATTTGTTTTAAATTGACTAATGAGGACGAGGAAAGCGCTCGTTGTTTCCATGTGGAAATAAATTATTCAGTCCAGTGATTTAACTCAAAATATATCTGAAAAATGTCACCGTTATCTTTACATTTATACTACAGATAAATTAATATCAAATATATAGTATATGTTAATATTACCTTTCGACACAGAACATGTAAGGTGTTTGCACATATGTTTACTATTAGTGCTTATGTAGTATGATATTGTCAGAATAAGAAGGAAAGTCTGTTTAGTTTGCTCAGTTTGGACCACTGAATAAAACTATGTAATGTATTTATAGTTTCTGACATTCATTTGATCAAAAATATTCTGATTCATGTAAATCAGCGAGTTCTTGCATTAATTGCACGAGTATCACTCTGTATCTACAATAATGTATTGGGAAAAGTTAAATGCTTGCTTTTATGATTAAATAAACAACATATATCTTTCTCTTAACATTTGAGATGTGTTATGCTGTGTTCACACCAGATGCGGAACGCGCGGATAAATCGCGCTATTCGTGCGTAAATTGCCGTGTGAACATTTGAGGTTACTCGCTTCATTCGCGCGTCAAATCTGCTTCATTCGCGTGTCAAATTAACTTCAGAACAGACGTGGATTCGTGTGATGGGCAGGGCTTCTGTCTGCCCGGTGACTGTAGCTTCATAGCTAAATGGCTAACATGGATTTTATGAAGAAAATAACAGTGTTTATGTACTTTATGAAGGCTGAAAACAGCGTCGATACGTTTAGGGTCGTGTCTGAGTCCACTACACGCTTTCAGAGGTGCATCCAGCTCTGTGAGCTCATAAACTCCTCCAGAAACTGAACCTGGATCACAGAGGCTTTCAACGGTGCTTCTGACTGAGCCAAGCCCAGTTTGATGACTTGTTGTCGGTGTCCCCTGGAGGATTTCCCCTGGGACACCATCAACAGGTTCTACGTCACAATCACGCCCCCACAAAAGCAAGCTTCTGATTGGTTAACGCGGCGCGAATGTCCGCTGAAGTTCAGATTTTCGAACTCGAGAGATTCGCGCAAAACGCTCGTTAAGCACGTCAAACGCGCAAAACACTCAATTCGCTTTGCGCGTATCGTGCTATTTGCTTTGCGCAATTCGCATCATTCGCTCCGCGCCACAGGATGTCTATTCACGCTTTGCATTGACTTAACATGTAAATCACTCGCGCTTGACGCGTGTGACGCATCTGGTGTGAACACAGCATAAGAGGCTCTGGAAAATCAGTCCACCACTGAGAAACAGAGAAAGTAAAGGTTCTGGAAAAACATTATTCAAAAGCCTGAACATCATAATTGATCTTATTTTCTTTTAAATGAAGTAGGACTAATGTGGACGGGGGAAGCGCTCGTTGTTTCTATGTGGAAATAAATTATTCAGTCCAGTGATATATCTTAAAATATATTTTAAAAATGTCTTATCTTTACATTTATAAGACAGATAAATTAAACAAAATCAGATAAATAGGATAGGATAAATATATATATATATATATATTTTACCTTTCGACAGATAGAATATGTAAGAAGTTTTCACATTTGTTGACTATTAGTGCGTATGTAATATGATATTGTCAGAATTAGAAGGAAAGACTGATTAGTTTGCTCAGTTTGGACCTCTAAATAGATCTATGTAATGTATTTATAGTTTCTGACAATTATTTGATCATATAAATTGCATGAGTATCACTCTGTATCTACAATAAGGTATTGGGAACATTTAAATGCTTGGTTTTATGATCAAAAAACAACATCAAAACAAAACAAATCCCTTTTATTGTCACATCAGCAGCAGCACGTGTGCTATGAAGAGAAGCTTATGTGCTGGCTCCGGACAGTACAAAATACAGTACAAATACAACGACAGTGTGAAATTGACAGCGATATGTACAATGAATAGGTGTCCACATAGTTGTAGGCAGTATTGTTTCAAGTATGGATTGGTTAAAGTGCAGTGCATGCTACATATTGATGGTGTGCAGTGAGGGGTATGGAAGAGTCTGTGTGTGTGTGTCAAGTGTTCATCAGCCTGATAGTCTGAGGGAAGAAACTTTCCTTCAGCCGGCCGGTGCGTGAACGGATGCTGCAGAAGGAAAGTTTCTTCCCTCAGACTATCAGGCTGATGAACACTTAACATATATCATTACATATATCTTTCTCTTTAGATTTAGGATGTATTAGAGGCTCTGGAAAATCAGTCCACCCCTGAGGAACAGAGAAAGTAAAGGTTCTGGAAATAAACATTTGAAAGCCTGATGATCATTATTGATTCTCGTTTATTTAACGAGGTATAACAAATAAAGCTATTTTATCCAGTGTTTATCTTGAAATGTTATTAACAACTTCAAGGGTACTCTCTTATTTAGTTAGGACTTCATAGCAAAAAGACATGTACCTTGAGCTGTAGGTGGAAGTTTGTACAGTGTTTGTTAAAAATACTTTTGCTCAATCCTGTAATTTTATTATCCTCATTGAGCTCTTGTTTCTCTTGTAGATAAATGGTCTCCTGCACTCCAGATTCGTACGGTGCTGCTGTCTATCCAGGCTCTATTAAGCGCTCCAAACCCTGACGATCCACTGGCCAATGATGTAGCCGAACAGTGGAAGAGCAACGAGGCTCAGGCCATCGAGACAGGTGAGATGTACAGTCATGTGTATTTTTATAGCACGTTTATCGTGCACCCAAAGTGCTTCACAATCGCAAGGGGGGTCTCTCAACACCACCACTAGCGTGCAGCTCCGCTTGGATGATGCGATGGCAGCTAAAGAACAACAGCACCAGTGCGCTCACCACACAACAGCTATAGGTGGAGTGGAGAGACGGTGATTAGATCTCAACAACAAGGGATAATTATACAAAGGAACTGTTAGTGCTCGGAGAATTAAGTGCTTGATTAAGGGGAGAGTGCTTATAATTCTTTATTTTTTATAGAGAGAAGAGTGGTTTCTTCTACAGGTGGTTTGTCAAGCCCACTCACCTGTGTGAAGCACACTTCATGGTTTGTCTTGGGGTTTTAGATTTTTTTTTTAAGATATGAAGAGATTGTAAGACAGTGTCTTGTACAAAACATTATAAAAATGGATGTTTAGTTAAATATTCATGCAAATAACAAAATATTAGATTGTAAAATAAATGTAGAATCGCTGCACTTCGTGTCTTGATTCCTAATCTTTAAACAGAATACTATCCACTTTGGAGAATGAAAACGTGACAGCTCAGAGAATGCAGATTGCAACTTAAATATATTTACATATACAGTATTTTCTTTCTATATCACAGTATATTTATATGCACAGAATTATTATCCCTCCGGTTTAATTCTTTACCACACAATTTCCCTTCAAATTCTGTTTAACAGAGAGAAGTTTTTCAACACATTTCTAATCATAATAGTTTGAATAACTAATTTCTAATAACTGATTTCTTTTATCTTTGCCATGATGACAGCACATAATATTAGACTAGATATTCTTCAAGACACTATTATTCAGCTTAAAGTGACATTTAAAGGCTTAACCAGGTTAAGTCAAAGTGAGCTTTATTGTCAATTCAACCACATGTACAGGACATACAGAGAATCGAAACTGCTTTATTCTCAGACCCTAGGTGCACAACAGATAATGTCAATACAAAAGGTAGAATTTTAAAGAAAACAAATACAATTACACACACAATCAAAAATAATATAGGTAAAAATAAAAATTGTATACAGTACAATTACAATTAATGGCACATGGCAAGAAGTGCAAACCAGAGATGCAAGCAGTATATAGTGCAAAAAGCTTGTATGATAAAGTGACAGTGTCTTAATAATATACAGGGAGGTAGTATGAGGTAACTAGCAGTCCAATGTTGAACAAAGTGACCAATGTAGATGTGTAAGGCCCCGTTTACATTAATACGGTTTAGTTTTAAAACGCTTAAGTTTTGCTGCGGTTAAGCCATCTGTCCACACTACCGAGTTTTCAAGCTTTGAATACAGAGCGTTTTGGTTACACTGAAGAGGCCGTTTTCATTTTAAAACGCTGCTGCTCCGTGTCAGTGTGGATGGGGGAAATTGGAGACATCTGAAAACGCAGGTGTGGCTGCAGACTTTCGCCTCTCTGATTGGAGCATTTCCCTCAATATTAAGTAGCCTACACACAGTTCAGTCCTGCATCCTCTCCTTGTAAGTTCAGACTGCGCAAGTTTAATATGGAAAACAAACTCCAGAGGACACATCGGGTAAATCTTCAAGGAGAAAAGTGCACTTCATAACTTTATTCACATCATCCTGGCTACGTTGTTTCACTTTCTTAAGAATATAATGAAAACATGATTAAAGGAACTGCTATTTTGATATTAGCAACTTAACAGACAGCATAGAAGTTGAGGCGTTGTGCTGCATATATGAGTGTCATCTTCACTGTGTGCATATTTATAACAAAACAGTGCCTATATAACATCACTGCCTTCTTTCATTTTCATTGAAAATACGAAGCACACCCTCTCTTTTGCTGAATGTCAGTTTTAATAAGCAATAATACCCTTTATAAAAGAATAACGTACAATAAGTTTATACATTATAGGAAATAAAGGCAAGCAACCAGTCAATATACAGAATGTACATGGTTACATTAGTTATAAGCTTATCTTTGCGCTCAGCCAACACACCTGAGCACAAGTAATAGATTCAAAAGACCAAAGTATGGGGAATATGTCGTCAGATATAGACAACAGGATGAGTTAAATATCACGCTTAACAAATATAGTGAGATTAGATCCAGCGGTGGATCCTTGATGAACAGTCAGACAAGCACAGCTCTCATCTGCCTAGATATGCTGCAGTGCATGCCAGAGTGTGTGTGCAGTCACGTGATGTGCGTTTTTAGTGGTGTGGTGTAGATGGAGAGCTGTTCAGAAACGTCAGTGTGTACGCGGTTCGTTTTCATTCTAAAGTGCCGTTTTAAAACGAAAATGTATTAGTGTAAACAGGGCCTAAGAGTGTGCGTTTACATGTGGGCAGGGAAAGGGGAGTGGTGGCAGAGCCAAGAGAAAAACCTTAATTAGGTTAAAGTAATTAGGCAAGTCATTAGCCCCTTTCACACATACAGAACAGGTCCTTTTTGAAAATACCGGAAAATTCGTTCTGGCTATTTTCCGGAAAGAGAAGTTGTAACATTACCGGCAATTTGCCGGAATGCTGCGCTGTGTGAATGCAGAAGGAAGATTGCCGTAATAAGCGCGTGTACGTCTAGAACGTGCTGATGTGAGACGTCTGCTTTAGCCAATCACAACAGTCAGACGCATTTACGTCTGCGCGGTTTGTGAGAATAAAAGCCTTTGAATATTTTCCCAGACACATTTAGCTGCTAGAAGTTAGTCAGATCACGTTTATATGTTCTTCTTAATGCCAACTGTGTAAATAATCATCGACGAGATGCTTATGATAAGCCGTTGTTTGTTTACCTTCAAGCTTTGCATGCGCCTGTGAAACAGCCTGTGAGCGCCTGCACACACACATATCATGAACATCTCGACATGTGAAAGTGATCCTGCGAAAGTTGTTCACAATATTGATCATCCACAGAGTTTGTAATTTAGTCAAATGTTTACAAATACAAGCGCAGCCGTTTAAAGCTCATTTGTGGTGAATGATGTCAGAATTTACCGGTATTTTGGAATGGATGTGTGAATGCTCTTTTCTCGGAAAATTTCCGTAACGTCCTCGCATGTGTGAACACCGCTTTTTTGAATATACCGGTAAAGTCGTTCCGGAAATTTTACAGATATTTACCGGTATCACTGTGTGAAAGGGGCTATTGTATAACAGTGCTTTGTTCTGGAGACAATCGAAACAAATATTGCTTAAGGGGGCTAATAATATTGACCTTAAAATGGGTTTAAAAAAACAAAAAACTGCTTTTATTCTAGTCGAAATGAACACCATTTGGGAAATATACGATAAAAAGATAACAGGAGGTTGAATAATTTTGACTTCATCTTATTGCATATTTGAGATTTTCTCTCTCTCTGTCTCTCTCTCTCTCTCTGTCTCTCTCTCTCTTGCAGCCCGAACATGGACCAGGCTTTATGCCGGCAACAACATTGAAGTTTAGAAAGAAGAAAAGGTGGCGCCAAGTGAGAGAAGTGGAACAATCTCCTCCTGTCTTCTTTTGCATTTAAAGGACACTTTCTCAGACAAAATAAAAAACGTAAACGATAAAATAATACATGATTCAAAAGCATCTACTGCAGCCTATCGGGTGAGTGTTGGTGTGCTCCTGGTTCAGAGCTGATGTTTGCTCCACTATATGCTTTAACCAGGATAATGACGTGTGGTGATGGCCTGGGGGATTTCCCAGCATCCCTTGCGTGGTCACTACACTGGACCCTGTCAGAATGTGTAGTACAGTCCCTATTACAGTCATTAACGCAGTGAATTTCACTGGAAACAGGTTGTAGGCTCCAGGTGTAATGGTTTGTTTGTTTTTTTTATGTTATTGGGCGTAGAGGGAGGGCAGGTTAAACGCGGGTTGCATTTATGCTGCTTCTTGGTCAGGGACAAAATGATGTGAATTATTATTATTATTATTATTATTATTAACTTTTTTTTTTACTTTTTCTTTCCTGTGAAACTCTTCAGTTGATTAAAAGCATGTCTAAATTATGTCCTATCTGACAGAACCTGCTCTGACGTCGTTGTATTGCAAACAAAACTTGTGTGTGTGTGTGTGTGTGGTTTGTGTTTCGGCTGGCGTGGAATCTGTACGAATCGTCTGGGAAAATTGAATCTGTAAATGTTCAGTTTTAGTAAAAATATTTTTTGTTATGTTATTTTGGTTTGTTCTGGTCATTTCTGAGGGTTTATTTGTAGAGGTTTGATTGTATGGAAGATCGTTTTAATTTAATTAATTAATTTTCCTTTGGCTTAGTCCCTTTATTCATCAAGTGTCTCCACAACTATTCCAGCTTATGTTTTTACACAGTAGATGCCCTTCCAGTTGCACCCATACAAACTCACATTCACACACTTTCTTACACTACGGCCGATTTAGTTCATCTATTCCCCTATTGCACATGTGTTTGAACTAGGGTTGCAACGATTCTGAAATTTGGTTGTACGATTATAGTCTAAGAAATAATCTCGGTTTCACGGTTATCATGACTATTTGCATTCATTGATTTCAAAACCCTGGTTGTTTAAAACTAAAATCATTTTAAATTTGGTTTCGTAGTTCATTTTAAAAGTTAATTTGATTGACTATATAAAAATCAGTGAATATTATTGACGCATTTTTTGGGGTAAAATTGCTACATTTTACTGTCATTCAATGTGTTTTTGGTCAATATCAATGCATCGTTATTGCCTTCAGTCACGCTCATGCCTTGCGCTGACACGCTGGTTCTGCGTGCAGTATAAAAGCTCTAATCTGCTAACATGAATGCCAAAAAAAACACGCTCTGCTCACGCTTGCCATGTGAAACAGGCTTAAGTCTTTCAGCACTCTCCGAAAACACTTTATTAATCTCAGCTGGCGGATCAACACTCGCCGCATGATCGCTCTCATTGGTGCCATTATTTGTAAGTGGGTTTGCAAACCCCAAACTCCATTGCTTCTTCCTCAAACTTCAGCCGTATGCAGTTCCCGCGCTCACAAAAGCCCCGTCATCTCAACTAGGTGTGCCTAAAAAGCGCAAACGTGTTGCGTTGCGTGCGCGTCCCTCCATTGGAAATAACAAACTTGAAGAAGCTTGCCTTAATAGCCTCAGTCATAGTCAGTCCAGTGGTCTATTAGTCTCTACTTTTAGTTGCTGCAGTTTTGTTTCGTGCAAAAACACGGTGTTGAGAAGCATTCACGATTAATTAACCATGACGGATTAAATCGTGATTAATAATGAAACCGGTTAATCGTCACATCCCTAGTTTGGGCTGTGGGGGAACCCGGAGCACCTTGAGGAAATCCACGCCAACACGGGGAGAACATGCAAACTCCACACAGACTCTGATGGCACTCGAACCAGTAATCTTGCTGTGAGGTGACAGTGATAACCACTGAGCCACCGTGCCGCCTAATTGATTGTGTAATTAAATATGATATTGATCAGATAAAGGTTTTTATCCGGCAGGCATATGTTGCAATTTTGGCTTTTTTTTTTCCAAATGTTGAGTTTATCTTGCAATCCTTTACATGCAGAAAGTAATTGTTCAAGATAATTGTGCCTTTTAAAATTAATGACAAAGACAAAAAAATAATATTTATGTTGCAGCCAATTTAACTTATTTTAATAAGTTAGTCTGGTTTAAGTTTAAGTTGTACAATGTTTAACTTAATATTTTTAGTTTGACTTATTAAGTTGAGATTACTAGAAAAGTTCTTTTGATTCAATAAAACAATTTAAGGCAGCAAGAATTTTTTATTTATTGTTATTTATTTATTAGCAAGATTGTTATTTATTTCTTTTATTCCCTGGCAGATATGTTTTCTGACATTTTCCAACTGTAAATAAATGCTTTGAATCTTTACATTAAACCTCTGCTCCTCAGCAGAGAGGTCAGTATTTTAGCCATTTGTCTTTGGACATGCTAATGACGCAATCATTTACATTTGTAAAAAAGGTAAAAGTTGATTGTGAACATGAGATATAAACTTTTTTATATCAGATATAAAAAGGAAAAAAGCTCAGAATTTTCACATCATGATTATTTTATTCAGTTGTGAATGATGTGTGATGGAAGCTTTTTGGTAACCACATAAAATTAATTAATTTAATTTAATATCTGCTCTTCAATACAGTATCTAAAGAGAGCTCTGTGTTTTAGCCATTTACAGTAATGGCTTTTGTCATGCTAATATTACATTTATTTACAATATTCATAGCAGTATTTATTTCTTAATTAGAAATATTGGATATAACTCAGAATTACAAAGAAAAGAAGGTTGGCGCCAGTGGTGTAGTGGTTAGGGCGGAGACATGTACTCCGGTGCTCACAGCGGTGACCCGAGTTCGATTCCGCCTCGTGGTCCTATGCCGATCCTTCCCCTCTCTGCTCCCCATGCTTTCCTCTCAATTCTCTCTACTTTCCTATCAAATGAAGGTAAAAACCCCGAAAAACAATTATAGAAAAAAAAAAAGAATTACAAAAAAAGTCAATATTGTGAAATAAAAATATTTTATTATGTTTGCAAATGTAGAATAAGTTTAAAATAAATCATTTTTAACGTTACGCTACATTTAAAAGTCTGCTCTTCAACACAGTATCCAAAGAGAGCTCTGTTTTTGACATGCTAATATTGTGATTATTTACATTGTGCAAAAAATTGACTCGTGCACAAAAGATAATTTGAAATGTTTGCCAAAATAATCTTTATTAAATCAAATTTAAAATAAATTACTTTTGACTACATACATTTAATGTCTGCTCTTCAGTAGAGTAAAGTGAGGGGCTTTTACCATTTCCAGTAATGGCTTTTTGACATGCTAAACTCGAACATTAAGTCCCAGATTTTCTCATTTTTTGTATTCATTTGAGCCGCAGTGACCTCTGCCAGAACTTCACTGCTGGATTTGTGAATGGAGCTCTCTGAGAACTGCAGGACGGCGTGTCTCTCATCTCTTATCTCTCTCCTGTTCCACATGACTTGCTTCTGGATTATGTAACTGTCTCTGTAGCAGCGCTGCAGTGGCTGCAGTTGAACTTTTTCTGCAGCGAGGACACATTTCTCCATCCGCTGTGTTTGTGTCTGTCTGCAGGACGTTTATAGGACTGGGACATCCAGTGCAATCAAAACAGTGTCTTGTTGCTGCTTTCTCATATCTAATGAGCCGTTTGTTGTGTCTGCAGAGTCTGAATGGCTACTATTACGGGATTTCTGAAGACTTTGGCAGTGCAACTTGTCATGATGTTGGTGTGTTAACTGTGTTTGTATACGGTCGCAAATGGAACTGATTACTATTTACTATTATAGTCTGTTACACTCATCAAAATAAAAGTTCCACAGAAGAACTGCGTTTGAACATTCCATGTGACAGTTTTTAAAAGAGAAGGGCATTCTAAAATTCTAAAGAAGCGTTTGTGGAATGAACAGATTCCTTTGATGTTAAAACTGAACCATCGATTGCAGAATATTTACATTGAAAAGTGTAGCACATTAACAGGTGAGTATTTCTGAACCATAATCCTTAGGGCCAGACAAAACCTGCAGATAGTTTTGTATTATTTTGCTATTTCTGTGCAGATAAATCATATTTGTTAAGTATTTTTATATTCTGTGAATATTTTAGCGCATGACTATTGTTTAAAATATGTTTCTATTAATATATATGTATAAATAAATATATATAATACAAATAATAGGGGCATCACGGTGGTGCAGTGGGTAGGACGATCGCCTCGCAGCAAGGAGGTCGCTGGTTTGAACCTCTTCTGGGTCAGTTCAGTTGGCATTTCTGTGTGGAGTTGTTCTCCCCGTGTTGGCGTGATTTTCCTCCGGGTGCTCCGGTTTCCCCGACAAGTTCAGGAACGTGTGTGTATATGTATATATATATATATATATATATATATATATATATATATATATATATATATATATAAACTATTTTAAGAAGTATAATTTTTTATTTAAACTTTTAAAATGTTTAGTATAAAAAGTTTTATTTTATTTGTATTTATTTTAAATTCCTAATTCATATTTAATTTTTATTATGAAAATCCAACTTGATTTAGTAAATCTAAAACTTGAAAATTCAGATAGTAATTCCATAAAACACAGAAAATAGTTTACAGATTGCATTGTAAAATATTGTTAATTATAATAAAATTGAATAAAATTATAAAATAAAAAATATAATTATATAATTATAATGTAATAATAATCAAAATATAAATAATAAAATAATAATCAAACTATAATATATATATATATATATATATATATATATATATATTTTAATATAAATATATTTTTATATATAATATTATTTATATATATATATATATATATATATATATATATATATATATTTTAATATAAATATATTTTTATATATAATATTATTTATATATATATATATATATATATATATATATATATATATATATATATATATATATATATATATATATATACAAACATTTACATAAGCTAATAATCAGATTAAATGATGGAGTCAAAAATCTGCAGCAGGCACAGTAATCATTAATATACAGATATTTCTGATTATTAATAGAGTAAACGATGGACAGTGGTTCTTGTGAAGCTTCATCTTCAGTAATTGTGAATTAAAAAGTCAAGTTCAGTGAGTGTGTAGCAGCTGTTGCTCTGATCAGATCCATGTAATCTCATTAAGGCCGTGAACAGATTCACGCGTCTCTCTTCTGTTTCTGAATCTGTAGAGCTGAACGTCCAGGCAAACCTTTATTTCCATTATGCTGCTGTCTGATTAATGAGCCTAATGCGTGTTTAGTGTGAAGTATACTGCTCTACGTCATCCTTTACTAAGCCAGAGGAACAGATTTTAATGGACTCCTCACCAAGCAGATGTCGGTAAATCAGTAATTCACTCATTAAAGGCATGACGGCTGCAGGCTTTCGGTCTTTGGTTAGTTATTAAATCTTCCTGGGCAAGAACAATGTGTTCACTTAGTACTGTAAACGTTATTCATGTCAACTAGCACTATTTATCAAGGGACTACAATAAATGTGCCATAGAAATGCACATCATACATCACAAAAATATAAAAAATAGCTTTAACTGAACTTTTTTTTATTATTATTATTGTTTATTATGCCTATTTAATGTCATACGTTTTTACTTTGTCATGACATAGGATAACTATGACTTTATTTCTCATTACAATTGTCATTAAGTCATTGTTTATCTTATATTTTCAGCCTGTCACCATGTAAACATCATTATCTCTAATGGCTTAGAGATATAAAATATGTTAGACTAATAAAACATCATAATTGGGAGAAACAAATCTCTTAAGTATGTAAAAATAATAATAATAATCAGTTGTCAGATTATGACATAATGATAGAAAATGAAAATTAGGATGTTAAAATGATGATGTACTGTCATATATTTGACTTTTCTGCCTTGGTTTTATCTTATAATCATGACTAGACAATTATTATTAATAATATTCATTCATTCATTTTCTTTTCGGCTTAGTCCCTTTATTAATCCAGGGTCGCCTCAGCGGAATAACCGCCAACTTATCCAGCATATCTTTTACGGAGCAGATGATCTTCCAGCTGCAACCCATCTCTGGGAAACATCCTCAATCACACTCATACACTACGGACAATTTCGCTTACCTAATTCACCTGCACCGCATGTGTTTGGACTGTGGGGGGAAACCGGTGCACCCGGAGGAAATCCATGTTAATGCAGGGAGAACATGCAAACTCCACATAGAAACGCCAACTGAACCAGCCGAGGTTCGAACCAGAGACCTTCTTGCTGTGAGGTGACAGAACTACCTACTGCGCCACTGCATCGCCCCTTATTAATATTATTATTGTTAATTCATTCATTTTCTTTTCGGCTTAGTTCCTTTATTAATCCAGGGTCGCCACAGTGGAATGAACCACCAACTTATTCAGCACATGTTTTACACAGCGGATGCCCTTCAAGCTGCAACCCATCTCTGGGGAAATTTTTACTACTAATAATAATATTAATAATAAAAATAACAACATTAATTATTAATATTATATTCAAGGTAATTACTTTGAGTCAAAATTGAGATATAAAAGGTTAAAATCATAGTATAAAGTCAGAATTCACATAATATTGTTATCATAATCATAATATTAGGCTGTATCCATGGATTGACATTAAAATAAAAGTTTAAACTAAAGGAAATTAAAGGATTCCAAGTCATAATTATGAGAAAAAGTTATAATTGATAAATTGTCAAAATTTGGACTTTTAGTGTCCTGACAAGGCCTTTTTAAAGTTTTTTTTCTGTACAATTAGCCTAGGCAAGTGACCCAGCTCTACAAATATTATCTGTAAATGTAAAACAAGTCATTATAAGTGCTTATTTTCGCTCTCAATCTGCTGCCTCGTATCTCATTTATCTCACTGATAACACAAACATGCTGTCAGATTCTTTTCTTGTCAAAGTTAAACAGTGTCATCATTCATAATTCAATCAGATCGGTACCTGTAAGCCAAAGTCCAGCTGCTTGCTAATCGCTATAACAGAAAAACACAAAAACAGGACAGATAACTACTACATGAAATATATACTCGATGCTGTAATGACCTCTTATTTGAACAGTTATTCGCAATGCAATAGTAAAAGAGCAGATTTATAATTACTATTTTTATTTAGATTTTTATTATTTTCTTTTATTTATTATTATGAATAATGCTAAAATATACAATCACTGTAAAGAACAAAAATTGAAAAAGTACAATAAATAAATAACCCAAAATAATAATAAAAAATATAGACAGAAAGAGTATATGTACATTATCACACGTTAAAGAAAAAGATTATATCATTTACACATTGTTAGTTGTTGTTAAAGTCTGTTTTGTAATAGAGTTTTAAATAAATAGTTTTAACGTAATAGTGCGTTTCAGTAAGCAAAATATTTTTTTAAAAGTTTTTTGTTTGTAAATTTACATGTATGTATATAAAATTGTATTGTTAAATTAAGAAAATATATTTTCTTTTCACGTAAAGGCTCTTTTTTTTGCAGTTAAAACAGTAAGGAAAAGTCTTTATTAATGCATGTTCTCAATTACAAAAAGAGAAAAGTCCTTCAAATGCTTATTAGATTAATTGCATTGCCAGATTAAATGAATTGCAGACTCTGGGTGTTGATTACAAAAGGAACAGTTTATATATATTCAGTTCTGTCTACAGTTCTGTCTGGTTCTCGAATCTGATTGGCTGATAGCCGTGATATATTTAAGTAATATCAGCACCCGTACAGCCTCTTTACCCTTTGTGTATTACTCCGCCCTCAAACAGTCAGCAAAAAGCAGACACTACAGATCTAAAGTGTAAAAGATGCACGCTCAGCTGTTTAACTGTCAGCTTATGATTTGAATCCAACGCGGAAGAAAGTAGTTCCTCATACAAAAGGGTTTTTGAGACTCTCAAAATCATGAGTCTCAAATCATGTTTGATTTTGTTTTTATATACACAATTATGCTGTCAAACTGTTGTATAAACGCAATATCACACGAGTAGCAGTGCGATATGGCTGTAAATCGGCACTGGTGGGGGCATTAAGCCGCACACCTCCCACCAGTGCCGATATACAGCCAAATCGCACTGCTACGAGTGTGATATTGCTCATATATATATATATATATATATATATATATATATATATATATATATATATATATATTCTGCATCTTACTAAGAAAGTATTCACTTCATGTACGATGGATGTATTTATGTCCGTTGGAATTAGGCTAGACATACATATTTTTTCCAATCAATATCAGGAACAGCAATAAAAAGAGCTGATAAACCCTCTCTCTGCGGTGTATGTGACAGGAGGCCACGCAGTAATGCGGTAACGGAGGCTTTTTAACGGAGTCTGGAGAGCAGTTCACGGATCCGCCTAACGGTGGTTTCAAGAGCTGCTACCGTGAAATACAAATCTTACTACGGCAAGGGTTGTATTCATGAATATTAATTAGTTTATGGTGACGCTACGGCGATCTCTTCCAATAGCAATCGCTGTTGATTAATATAAGCTGACGTTGCTAGGTAACCATCCAATACCGACGGTTTAATATATGAATATTAAGTAGCAAGCCGTCAACATACTATCCTTAGTAATTTCGCACCCGGCCCACCACGCACGTATATATACCGGGGGAAAACGGCAGATTTTGACCGGGCTATGGATAGCGGAATCGAGAGAAAGCGTTAAAGAGTCGAATTCGCTGGATTAAACGCGAAGGAATGATTTAAATTGGATTTAAAACCCAACGCATACCCGTAGGCTCGGTCCAGCGCGGTGCTGGTCCACATCTGACCGTCGGTGGTGACTCACGGAGATAGGGCCGTTAACGGAGTATTGCTGACCGGTCCGATATATATCTACAGATTTCAGCATGAAGTTTAAACCGAACCAGACGCGGACGTACGACCGGGAGGGATTCAAGCGGCGAGCGGCGTGTCTGTGCTTCAAAAACGACCGGGAGGATGAGGTACGGAGAAATTAACGTTAACGATAGTCTAAACCGCTCAGATCATAAATCAGTGTATTAAAACGCACATACACTTTTACACGTATCAGGATAACTGACGTTTATACGTGGATACCTGTTTGCATAACTGTCAATCAGGTTCTGTTATGCTCTCATATGATGTCATCATTGATTATGATATGCTTACGTATGTAAATAAATAACGCATTAATTAATATATTCATAAATGTTGACATTAGTGTTCCTACTTTTGTAAATGTGCAAGCCTGCAGACAAATAAATACTATACTACACTATAGAGGCTATCCAGAAGTGTTTACATCTGGCTTCCTGGAAATGATCTGATCTGAGATCAGTTTGTCATCATCAGGTGTTCTTGAAAAAGTGAAGTTTTTTTTTTTTTTTTTTTTTTTTTTTTGTGTGTGTGTGTGTGAGAGAGTGTTCAGATCACTGCACAGTGTAATCTGGAGCACATCTGTTCATTTAATTCTCATCTAATCTCTGTCACACAACGCTGTGCAGGCCAAAATCCCATTGATCCTCATTAGTCAAGTTAACCTGTTTCAACTGCATAAAAAAACATTAGAAAACTGAAGGAATCCTTTTATTTGACTATCTATCTGTCTATCTATCTATCTATCTATCTATCTATCTATCTATCTATCTATCTATCATCTTTTTGTCAATCTGTCTGTCACTCTTGTCATTGCACACAAGTCCATTTGGTCCTGGCTCTCTGTGTGATTTGTCCTGTTCCCCATGATGAATTATAGGCACTTTAGACTGTCGGTCACTGGGCCTCTTTAGTGCAGTTATGCAATAAAAGCACGTCAGACTGCAGCTCTCCGAAACTCCCCGTTTCTGCATGTATACAGCCGCACCAGGTTAGTGTACTTCTGAGAAAAGACCGTCCCGAATAGACATTAAAATTTAAATTCCCTGGGGCACCTTTTGAACCATTACTTTGCAGAATGTATAGCATAATGTTTCTATATCAACTCAAACCTTATGATTGTTTGTCTTATCGGCTATAGATCTATCTATTGCTGTTTTCATGATTGGAATAATCACCTTTATTAACTGTTTTTACTGATAACTTAAAGTAACGCATTGCATTTTATGACTGAAGTCACTCTGAAGTGTATTAATTGAGGTTTTGGTGTTTAACATAGTTCATGAAGTAAAGTATGAATACAGTCAATTAATTACTAGTTGAAATAGCTTTTCTTATAACTATAAAACGTTTAAATGATCTTTTGTGTGACTAGTAAAGTCTCAAGTGCATATTTTAAATAATTAATCCCCTAATAAAATGCACCATGAGTGCACAAAACAATGCCATTTTGAAGAGAAAGCAGTTATTCAAAGTTTAATTACATTCAATATCAACTTTTTTTTGAGTACAGAAGTGCTGCTACCAGAAGTTTGCACTTTTTTTAATGATGTTTCACTGTTTCCAAGTAACTGAACAGAGGAATCTCAGTTGTTTGAGCTGCAGTGTGGTATTGCTGGTGTAAATCTGGGGTTGCTGCTTATCTCCGTTGTGGATTTACCCATAAGAGTGGCTGTTCAATCACGCTCACTGATCTCAGACGAGCTCCATGAACGGCCCCGGCACTGCATGCCAACTCCAGACTGATCCACAGTCAGTGCATGTCTGTGTAAATGAGGGGAACTCATTTGAAATGGCTGCTCTTTGTGTTGGAGTGAAAGAGGGTGAGGATAAGCGAACACATGAGTCAAAATCCCTCCCATTCAGAGCACCTAATACACACTCACTGAGACAGAGAGAGTGTTAGTAAAACCCAAACATCATCCTAGAGATATTCTGCTAGATTTCTCTCAAAGCATTTGTTCAAAAGAGCATTTTCATGTTTGTGGCGTCCTACAAACTTTTAATGGTGAACAGAAAATTTAACACATGTATGTTTGTGCATTTACTCCGATTGGTAAAAATGACTTTAACCAGAGATTGACTGGTCTAGTTTTGGGCAATTCTTAGACGTCTAGACTTTCACTAACTGCCCAAATTTAGCTTTGTTTAAGCCAAGCTGTCTTTGTTTAGTTTTCTACACACAAAAGACATCTAGACATCTAAACATAGACGGATTGACCAAAACAAGGCTAAATTTGTGCTGTGAAAATCCAATAGTTTCCCAAAACTAGACCAGTCATCACATTAAAAACTGCAGAGTTCCACACAATTATTATTGCCCCAACTCAAATGGATCATGTTAACTCAATATTTTGTCCAAATTTAAGTGGATTGAGCATAAAACATCAAAGTAGTCCTGAAGAAAGCATCTGAATTGTGTTGTTTCAACTTAAACAAGCAGCAAAAGTCATTTTTCTAAGTGCAGGAATGTTTGACTACACATGTGGACTCTGTCTAAACTGTTTATTTGAATGCTAGTGTAATTTTGGGCAATTCTTAGAGGTCTGTTTTTCACCCCAAATTTAGTCTTGTTTTAGTCAAGCCGTCTATATTCGGATGTCTATTAGACTGTTAACCACAAAACCCTAGTGGGTGATTACAGTGGTCAATATATAGAGAATTACAAATTAAACATTTATAGTATACTAAATTAACTTCAATAATTTCAATGAATACTGGATTTATTTCATACAGTCTGTTAAATGGGTCCACATAGGTGTCTAAATGGGACAAATGCCTCTGTGTTTCTCCATTTAGCATCATGTGTGTATTATAAATACAGACGCCTTTTCCTAGAAGCAGTTAATGTAAACATACAGCAGCTTTAGAATAGGTGGACATGCTACACTGCTAAAACAGTCTCATGACACGCATTCATGCTCAAGAACTATTTCAATCAAATTACCGAGTGCAACAAGTGAATTCTGGGGCCTAAATCAGCATTGATTTGCTGCACAGAGAAACTGATATTTAATAATAACAACTGATTAAAGTTAAATATTTGCTGTGAGCTCACAGGCTGTTAATTAAACATGTGTTTTTCTTTTGTTGAACTCATCACTTTATCATCACTCATCACAATAATCCAGTTTTTCTTTAATTCATCCCATGAAGTTTTCTATTGCTTAATTTGATTGTGTCATTTGTAATTCTTCATGCATTGTTAGGTTTTCCCTTTTTTAAAGCTGATAAGTCTTAAATCTTTTTGTTTGTTTGTTATTCATAAATACTGTAAAAACAAATCTGCAAATAAACAGTTTTACCTTTTTTTTGTAATTCGATTTTCAAATAATTTTGCTTTTAAGTTGCATTACGGGATCTTGAAGGATATTGAAAAGTTTGAAAACTTAAATGCACATTTTTAATAGTTTAAAGTGATCTTTTTTTACTACGCCAGTCGTCTGACTGTTTATTAAGTGATGATACTGAGCAATTTTTTTAATGCGTGTTTAGTATCGACTGATATCAGGAACTGCTTAGATTCAAATCCACAGACAAAATCAGATTCGCACCATTGTGTCCTTAAATGTGACGCTTGACCCCGTGTTGCTCCAGGCTGACTGTCCTTATTATAAGTTCATGGTGCTCTGCTGGGTGAAAGTTGCAGGAAAAGTTTGTTTTCACCTGCTCTGGGCATCTGTGGTGTCATCTTAAAGTGTTTTAAATGCAAAGAGTGGTCATAGCAAATGTTGATTTGATTTAGTTAATAGAAATTAAAATGTATTTATGCCTTATTTTTGAAAGTATCCTCATTTTACAGCATTTTTACTAGTGCCTAAAGCTTTGAACAGTACTATAGCTTTGCAGGTAGACTTTTTGAAGGATCTTTGAGATATTGCCAAAGTTCTTCTGGATTTAGTTTTTTCATGTCTTTGTGCCATTCCAGACAGGATGATGATCCCATCAGATCTCTGTGTAGAGCACTGGCTGTTTTCAGACAGTAATCTCATCGTATAATTAATGACAATAATATTTGAACATGTAAATTGATATTTCAAACTGACATGCTACAGAAAAATATAGAGCAAACCAGCTTTAGACCTTTTTTATGTGAAAATACTGTATATATTTTGCTGCAGTGATTATTACATCAAAAAGGAAATATGAATGCATTAAACTTTAAATCAGGATGAATCTCTGCTCTATCTGATCATTCTGCACCCAGTTGGCAGTAAGCGGCTGTGATTTCGTCATGTCATTTAAACACTTGATGATTCATGTTTTGCGCCCACTTTGTTTTGATTATTGACATCCTTGATGTGTCATTGAGAACTTTTTCATGTCAGCATAAAATCACAATATTTTAATACAATAATGAATGTGATGCTACATTTCTAAAGAGCAACGTTTGATCGCTTAAAATTAATTGAGCATAAACTGTATAATAAGAAAATAATATGTATATTGTAATTTATTATACTATACTTAATCGAATAAGCACAATAAATGATATACTGTTTAGTTTGTCAATTGTTTTTGCGCAATGTATTTGTTTTGCTGCAACTAAACTGATTTGTAAAGGTAAGAAGTAGGAGAAGTAATTAAAATTACTGTTAGTAATTATTTAAGATTAAATAAAAACCTTGCATTAGTTAGAATCTAAAAATATATTTTGTCTTAAGTCATGAGGTACTTCTTAATTTAGTATATCGTAAAGTATATCATGTGAATATATTTGTAACTTTATGCTGTTTTTATCTTGCATATAATACATTTATTTATTTATTTATTTATTTATTTAACACCTTATAAAATGTATTTGTCTTGGAATCAGTATTGGAATATAATAGAAAACCCCTCCATTTTGATTCCTGATCACTTTTTCAGTGTTAATTTTGCAGTAAAGTTGACAGACTGCATTGTCCTTATTCTCTTGTTGTTTTGAGGTCAGAAGTGATGCTGTATGGGCTTGTTATGATGGGATTCATCAGGGTGGAATTATGGAGCTGTAAATTACTGGTTGTGGTCAAATGTTTCTCAAGCCTGTTTGTACAAGAGCTTTCATTGTCGTCCGCTTTTGCTAAACTGTACAGTAGTGTACAAGAATACACCGCTGTTTTGTTTTGTTCATAGATGTTTTGTTGTTTTAGTGGTAGAGAATAAGCTCTTTTTTCCACCTTCAGCTCACCATATGCTCATGTGTGACTGTTAAGGTTATTTTAGTAAATGACAAGTAAAACTAAGACAAATTATTGGTCAAATTGTTTTTCGTTAATTGAAATAAAATAAACAATTAACAATAAATGAAAAACTAAACAAAACAGTTACTAAAAAACGAACTAAAATAAAAAAGTCAATGAATTAAAGAAGCAATTGTCAAAAATAATCACCGTTTTCAGAATTAATAAGCTCTCATTCTGTGGTGGAAAATCCAGATAGATTCTGTGGTGGAAAAAGTACCAGACAGAGCTTTACAGTCAGGCGCATGATTATATACAAAAATATATTTTCTATATAAACACAAAACATATCCAGGGCTCAACAATAAGGACTGCCTGACGGCCCGGGGCCAGCGTGTGAGATGCTCGGGACAGTAGACAGGATCGTTACTGGCCGGGCCACTGATACCCTGTCACTAAAGTTTAATTTACCTGTGACTATTTGTCAATTGCGTGCAAATACAGTCAGAATAGAGAAACCGTTTGTGTTTTTCAAATGCTACCTTCCCGGTTCCTCTTATCTGATTGGATGTTGTGAGCATGTTATTTTTTTCCCGTAACAACCAGTACAGCTAAGAGACAGCAACATGGCGGCAACATCAAGTGATGATGCTAAAGGAAAACATTTGTCTCTAACCTCTTGGAAGCAGACATTTACGAGGGTACACCACGACTACAAAAAATGAAGTGATGTTTTGTACAGTTTGCCGTTAGTTTGGCAGGTCAGTCATCCTTTGTTTTGCTATAAAATACCTGCACATTTTGCTACTTTTGTTTGCAAAACACTTTAACATTTTTTTAAATATTTAAATTCTAGATTTACAAACATTTTGACATTTTTTTATTATTTGTGGCTAAGAAATAGCTATTCATTTTTTTTGGTGGGGCCAGTGACAATATTGGCAGGGCAAGTAAAAATCTGAACCACTGGTCCGATCGGGCCAGTAGAAAAAAAACCCCTGAACCCTGATATGTTTTCTTAATTTGCCACAAAAAGCTATGTTTAGTTAGTACTGTACATGATCTTTAATATCAAGAAGTTTGTCTTAAATCTTCATTATTATTTTTAGTTTTATCTATTCATTTGCATTTTGGATTTAATGTTTATTCTAACAGTTATTTAAATTTATGACTAAGAGGTTTGCACAACAGTTCAAACTAGATGTATAAAAACTAAATAGAAATGTGTTTGCAAAATAAAAACTAATAAACAAACTGAAACTAAACTGAAATTTACTGAAACTTTAAAATGGTAGAGGGTGATTAAAATAAATGCTGGGCAAATATTAATCACATCCAAAATAAGAGTTTGTTTTGACATAATGTGTGTGTGTCGGTGTGTGTGTGTGTGTGTGTGTGTGTGTGTGTTACATAAATTAATTGCGCATATGTAATACACACATGCATAAAAAAACTATACAAAACAATTGTTATATAGATATTTAAATGTATATATTTTCTGACATTCACATATTTCATATCTAAATAAACACTTCTCAAATATTTGCTTGCATTTGTGTATTTATAATAAATATACACGGCACACTCACACATATATTACAATCTGTCAATACCGACTTAATTTGGATGTGATTAATTACGATTAATCTTTTCCCAGCACTAAATATATAATATACAAAAACGAATTTAAAGCGCTAAACTATAGTAACCTGGTTGTCTGTGGGAGAGCAGAACTGGACAAACGTGTTTAAAGGAAACAGCGGTGTAACTGAGAGTGTGTTCTGATGCCACATATAAGCTTTCCTTTGTGATTTGCGAAACACACACTCACTCTTGGAAGAGGTGACCTGTTCCTCACCGTCAGCTATGTGGCACATTGTAAAAATAACCTCCGTCTGGCCCAGGACATGCCAGGTGACAGCAAGTATCATGAACTTGACAGACGCACGTGATGTCACACTGACATCGCATCAATCCCACAATCCTCTTAGTGCAGGAGACACCTGAGAGCCAGTCAGCAGCTGGGGGATTAGCCAATCAGAGAGCAAGATGCAGTTCTGCTGCGTCCATCTGTCAAAAGTCATTCACAATAGGCTTGTACAGGAATACTGTACTACAATTAAAACTTGCAAAAAGACGTTTGGTAATTGAAATAAAACCAGATGAATTTTTATAATAATAATAATAGTAATAGTAATAATAATAATAATAGTAATAATAATAATAATAATAGTAATAATATATATTTAAATTTTATAAAAGTGTTTTACATACATTTAAAAAGTAAAAGATGGATAGAGGCATAAAAGACAAAGCAATTATAATAAAAACAAAGAAATATATTTTTAAAAAATACATTAAAAGCTAGCCCAAATGAAGTTTATTTAAACATAAATGTATAAATAAAGATAAATGAATTCATCCTAAAATTTGAATAATTATAAAGAGTAATATCTTTTAAAAATTATGTTAAAAGACAAAGTAATTATCTATGCACATTTAAAAAAGAAATGCTGGGTTGTGTTAACCTAATGTTGGGTCCATTGTGGACAAACCAAACATTGGGTTAATTTTGTTTAATTAAATTTAAATTGCACTTTTTTTTAACCCAATGACTGGGTTTTTCTGTGTTTGACTCAACTGTGGGTAATGATAACCCGGCCAGCATTTATTTTTTTAGAGTGTAATTGTATTGTATTGTATTGTATTGTATTGTATTGTATTGTATTGTATTGTATTGTATTTCTGTCCCTTATTTCTTTAAATGAATATAAGATCGTAACCTAAATATTAATAATTAAAAACAACAAAGCAGCTAATAAATCAACTGAAGTATACAACTAGTGTAAAATCACATTATTTAATGTATTTTTGTTTCAAATAAAACTATATCCATCACATATAGTGTAAAAATAAATCTCAGAACATTACAACATATAAAAAAGTGACATTTATTTACCTGCTTTCCGATCCTCCCTCTGCCTTAATTCAATTTAAGTTTTAATTTAATGTAATATTTTGATATTTATTACATATATTTATATAAAATAACTAAATATTGGCTAGTGTAAACCTGGATTTCTTTTTAAAGCACATTCAAAATAAAAAAAGGAAATACTCCAGTTATTTTTTTAAACCCACATTTCCCATACATTTTCTTTGTTCTGTGAGATTCTTCTCAATCATAAACTGGTCTAAAAAAAAAAGGTCTCAATCTGTTTCACACTTTGTTTCGGCAGGTTTTGTTGGTCAGCAGCAGCAGAAACCCGGATCAGTGGATTGTTCCTGGTGGTGGAATGGAGCCGGAGGAGGAGCCGTGTGGAGCCGCAGTGCGGGAGGTCTATGAGGAGGTGCAACACTATTATTATCATTTCACATCATTTCCAAGAGTCAAAGCAACACGTCAGTCAGTGGTGTCCTCATTTGATAAACAGTGTGATAGACATGCCCATATTCAATCATTCAATATATCATAATAATAATATTGATATCATCATGGGCATTTTGAAAATACAGTGAATAAATATTTATTGTTTTAACATTTTTAAAAAATATTCAGATTGTATTTGCAGTGGTGTTCAGAAATGATTGGAGACTTAATTGGTTCATTAGCTTGTAGTTCATCTGGTCAACAACATGCTGAAATAATGAAATGCTTTCTTATTTAATGCCTAATAATGTTTTAAAATCATAGTCAATCTGATCAGAAGTGGTAATGATTTTATTAATAATAGTGTTTTATTTAAATGACCTTTGTGACTGATAAATCTCTTTTTATATTGTTGATTTTAATGCACTAAGTTTACTAATGATATTTATTGTGAAGTGTTTACTTACTATAGTACTTTATAACTCTTTTACAATTTAATTTAGGCATTTATTTACTCTGAGCATGAATATGCTATAAAGCAATAGAAAAAAAGTGACTTTTTTAAACATTTCTAATAGTTTAAAGTGATATTTTTGTCTGGGTTGGGGTTGTAAATTACACTACAAACACCTTCTAATTAACTGGAGCAGGTTTTCTGTTATTATACTGACTTATTTCTTTACATATTGTTATTTTTTATACATTATATTATTTCAAACTACTCAAATGTCACTAAAAGTCCCTTTGTTAAACTGTAGAGTTGAATTTTCAACATCGAAAAGGGACAGAGCAGAGATCAACATCCCATAATGCAATTCACAACCGTAAATAAACGTAAAGCACTTTTAACTAACTGATCATTTTTACAATATAGAGTGTGATGTTCTTGACCGTATAGCTAGTTTCTGTAATGATATGTGTATATTTGACCAGTGTCTGTCTCATTCTCTCCCTCAGGCTGGAGTGAAGGGTAAATTAGGACGTTTACTGGGTGTGTTTGAGGTAAAGCTCCTCTCTCTCTCTCCTCATTGGACGGTTCAGATGAATGAATGGATGGATGTTACGTGATCATAGACCCTCACACTGAAATGGTTTATTTTTCAACAACAGCAGAACCAGGACCGGAAACACCGGACATACGTGTATGTGCTGACAGTCACAGAGACGCTGGATGCCTGGGAGGATTCAGTCAATATTGGTGAGTTTGCTGATTTTTGAGCTGGATCTGCCAGCTGTTTGTTCAGCTCTCGGCTCTACTGAATTTCCTGCTATTTCCTGACTGTGTTTATTACTGACACTGGTCCATATGCTGTTGGTATAAAAGTCTATGTCCAAGACTTCTGTTTGCATGTTTTTATGTATCCATTATATGCAATTATTATATTTATTTTATTTTTATTTTAACCATTTTTTATGTATCCAATACTTGCATTTATTTATTTATTTATTTATTTATTTATTTATTTATTTGTATTTATTTAGTTACTTAGCTAGTTTATTTGTTTTATTATGTTTGTTTTTAAGCATATCTTTTTTAATGTTTTCATTATTTACAATTATTATGTTATATTTATTTTATTTTTATTTTAACCATTTTTATGTATCCAATACTTGCATTTATTTATTTATTTATTTATTTATTTGTATTTATTTAGTTACTTAGCTAGTTTATTTGTGTTTTATCATGTTTGTTTTTAAGCATATCTTTTTTAATGTTTTTATTATTTACAATTATTATGTTATATTTATTTTATTTTTATTTTAACCATATATTTATGTATCCATTATATGCATTCATTTATTTATTTGTTTTAATATTTGTGATTTTGTTTTTTGCTTTTTTTGTGTGTTTTTTATTATTGTTTGTTTTTAAGCATATCTTTTTTAATGTGTCCTTTATTATTTGCAATTATTATATTTATTTTATTTTTATTTGAACCTTATGTTTATGTATCTATTATTTGCATTAATTAAATAATTTATTTATTTATATATTTATTTTTTTTATTATTTTTGTTTTTTTGTTAGGTTTGTTTTTAAATGTATCCATTATTTGTGTTTGTTTATTTTTTTGTGCGTGTGTTTAGTTTTTTGTTTAGGTTTATTTTAAGCATTTTTTAATTTATTCATTATTTGCAATTATTATATTTATTTATTTATTATTATTATTATTTTTTTTTATTTAGGTATATATTGCTGAATCCATTATTTGCATTTATTTATTTATTTTGTTGTTTTGTGTGTGTTTTTAATAGTTTATTTTTTTTGAGCATATTTGTTTTTTATATAACTGTTATTTGCAATTATTATTTTTATACATCTATTATTTGCATTTATTTATTTATTTTATTTGTGCGTGCGTGCGTTAGTTTACTTTGGTTTCAACCTTATTTTTTATGTATCCATTATTTGCACTTGATGTGTTTTATTTTATTTTTAGTTCATACATTTCTTTATCTATTTTATTTTAATCATGTCCTTTTTTTAGGACAACTTAACTGTTTTCATTCAGTCCACGTAAATTTGTCAAAACAATTAACTTCATCGATTTGTGTTCGGACATCAAAAAGGAATTATGTGAACCCAGCATTTCTTACAGTGTACACAATACATATTTTGCTTTAGTCTGGTTCAGTTTTTTCCACTGCACACCCTGCAGTGCATTTATTTAACAACACTAATGCCGCTTTTGCTACTGTGTTTGCCTTGTAGGCCGTAAGCGAGAGTGGTTTTCCGTGGACGAGGCCATCAGAGTCCTGCAGGGCCACAAACCGGTTCACGCCGAATATCTGAGACGCCTCCGGATCAATCGCTCATCCTCCACCAACGGGAACCTGCTCCTGCCGCAGACAAACCCCAGCAACCTCACACCACTCTTCAGCACACCAGCCTCAGCTACTCGCAGATAGGACATGCGCACACACACTCATCACTGTCTACATCACACACCATTTCCCTGCATATATAACACCTTTGGGATGTTCTGTAGAGGGACACACCAAAATCTGTGTGGGATTTTGAGTGAAGAATGCCTTAACGATTTTTTTAAATGTCCACTGATTGGTTTTTAGTAGTGCTGGGCAAAGATTAGTAATCACCATTAGTTGCATCCAAAATAAAAGTTTGTTTGGATATAATATATGAGTGTGTGTTATATATATTTAACATGCATTTGTGATAAACACACACAAAACTATGCAAAACTAATTTGATACATAGATATATAAAATTTGCATCATATATTTTATATCTAAATAGAAATAAGCATAGTCTCAAATATATGCATGCATGTGTGTGTTTATTTATATATATAAGCATAATAAATATACACCATACACACACTTAAATCATGTCAAAACTAACTTTTATTTTGGATGTGATTCATTTATGCACAGCAGTTTTTAGTTATTGTGTATATGAGTAATAATTATTAACCAGCATCAATCACAGGCTAGTCATGTGGAAGAGCTGTTTCCCAATTTCACCTGCAGAACTGGGCATTTTGGGATTGTGATGTAGGGAATGTCTGGTTCGTTTGATTTAACTCAGCGTTTTACCTCTATGAATTGATTCGGCTAGCGCTGTCACGAGCCCGGACGTCCCTTTAAGACTCCTAAATCTCCAAACAAACCCTTTAAAACTCCCTTCGCTGCTGCTCCGGACCAGATAACTGGATTTCTGAAAGCATCAGAGATTCGGCTTGATGAGATTTGTGGGAATTATTTGTGAGCCGGAGGGTGGTAATCTGAACACGGTCTCTCATTTTATGCTTTGATTAAAAAATAATAATAATAAAAGGTTTGTAAATATATATATATATATATGTACTAAAAGACTGAAGATAACAGATGATGTTTCTTGGTTTTTAACCTCAATGCAAGTGTATTAATCTTTTCTGCTCTTAACTATTTCTATTTGGATTTTTGAAGAGAACAGAACTGTGAATTTAGTCTGAGAGAAGCATGAGATGTTAATGGGTGAATCCCACTGGACCAGTCGACACGCACAGGACATTTCTCACTACACTGAACAAAAAATAGGCAATTATTTAATGTTTATGTTTTAAAAAATTATATATATATATATATATATATATATATTTTGTACATAAACGGATAAATTTACATTTTATTTATATATATATATATATGTATATATATGTATATATATATATGTGTGTGTGTGTGTGTGTGTGTAAATGTATCTGTTTATGTACAATATATATATATATATATATATATATAATTATTAAAATAATAGCATTGCAAAATTACTATTTGGTATAAATCTGAAATTAAAATATTCATATTTTATAAAATATAAAACATTATAATTGCTTAAAACGAACTCATTTGAATGTAATTTTACAATATAATTATTATTACTTATATGTATGCATAATATTAACACGTATGTATGTGTAAATATGAAGAGTTCAGATGCAAAAACCTCTAAAGTGTCATCTGAAATATTCTTCTAAAAGTATTATTATTATTATTTTCATGCTCCTTCCTGTTGGTTTAGTAATTTAACTCTTATGGCAATAAATATGATCTTTTCATTGCCTTCAAAGTGAAATAACTCAACATAAACATGAGGAGGAGGCTGAGAAGAATAATCCTTTTGGAAGAAAATGTCAGACGTCCCTTAAAGCCTTGTGCATCTGAACTCTTCATATATATATTTATACATATAATATTTGTGGTTCTACATGACCTGTAAATGTGAGATTCACCCAGCTGAATTTCTGGCACCAGCAAAGCCTTGAATATCTGTCGGATCAGAGGTTTGGGTGCCTTTTTCCTTCTTTAAAACGTAACAACACATTGTACTGTCATTGTTTGTTTTTTATTGTTTGAAACACTGATGAACATTTGTTTCTAGATGCTGCTCTGAAAGCGTGTGTGTGTATATGTGTGTGTGTCTGTGTGTGTGATATGGGCTAACGAACAGGTCAGTGCCAGTCTTTCATTTAAAGCGAGCCGTTGTACAAATGACACTTTTCTTTAGAGTACACGTGAGATGTGAAGTGTCAAAGGAAACACTAACAATAAACAACTAACTGTACATTTCCTAAAACTTTTGGACCATGTCCTTTAGTAAAAAAAAACACAACAACAAAAAAAAGTGTTATGGTGGAGTTATTCCCCACACAAAATTGTACAGTCTAATATTTTGGGTTTTCACAATGAATTCTGATGCTTTGTGAGCCGTAAAGCGTAACTGCGCAAGACCTGAGGAGTGTTTTGGTGGATTTACAGGTTTGTGAGTCTCTTACCTGTTTAAAGATGCCAACGGGTCCACAGTTTCTGTATGTTTACTGTAATGTGTACAGATGTTCATAATGGATATTTTTATTTGTCAATAAAGATTGTATCACAAGGATGACATGCGAATCGATTTGTTTGTTTGATGTAAACAGGGACTTTGAATAATGAAGATAAATTGCTGTAATTAGTTTTACACTTTAGTTTACACTTTACACTGTAAACAAATCTGTAAATTGGCAGTTTTCCGTATTTTGTGATTTTATTTTTTATTTTTCCCCCATTTATTTATGCATTTGAGTTGCATTATAGGATCTTGACAACTTTTAAATCTTAAAAAGTGACATTTCTAATAGTTTAAAGTGCTATATTGTCTGTGTTTTTGTATAGGGGAATTAGCAACCTATGTCACACAGGTTCAACCGCGCATACCGGTTGCAATAGCAAACATGTCATGTTGTGTGGTAGGATGCCAAAATCGAAAGTCCAAAAATAGAAAACTTAAATTTTACTGTACCCCTCACTGCTTTGAATGGCAACCGCAGACATCTTTGGCTAAAAGCCATCAGAAGAGCTGAATGGAGTGAGGACCTCATTAAAAATGCTCGACTCGCATTTCTCACTTTTTTATCAGGTAAGTTCACGCTATGCTGAATAATACACGTTGTTTTTTGATTGCAGCAATGATTTCAGCAAAAACAGTTAAATATGGTGAATTAAACTGCGGACACTGAATGCGCAGAATGAAATGTAAACATGTAAGTTCACATACCCTGTCGTACAGATGCAGTTCGCTGTCAGAATGCAGTTGTTTTGCTTGTTGATGATTAACCAGCCCTAGGCCTAAAATACTACCTTTGTTTTAATTTTTTTATTATTATTTATTTATTTATTTATTTTTCAGCAGAACAACAGTGGTACTGGTATCTTGTAACAACAGCAGCAGTTTTTGTTAGATTCTAACAAATGCTTCAAAGCAAAGCCAAAAATAAAAAGAGATTATAAAACAAATTTAGAAAGACACAGTCACTGAGCACCCTCAAGAAAAATCAGAATCACCCTCAAATGTGCCATAGGTTAATTTTTCCAGTGGTAGAAGTCTGATTGCCTGACCCAGTCACATATTGACTGAAGGTATCTGAGCGATTGACCATAATAATATACATTTTTGGTCAAGTATATACAAAAGTTCAATACACATTCTTTCTCATGATCAAAACACAGTGTCAAGGTTCAATTGAGAAGGTATACCTTTGGAGACAAAGCAAAAGTCTTTCCAATTATTTTTTGAATCATTTTGTGAATCCCCAGTACATTTAGATTTTGTCGCAATCCCAAAATACATACATTACTGTGCCAATGTCTGACTTACATTTTAAACATAGCTGGAAACAACTGGGAAATATTCTATGGAGGCGAACTGGGGTTAGATAAATCCTGTGAATACATTTACAATGTTGCTCGTGAACTGAAATTGAAGTACTTGTGGGAAAGATATTTGAGCAGGCAGATAGCCACTCCTCATCACTAAACTCTTCTCAAAAGTAATAGCATGTTTTCAGATGTCTATATTTGTTTGTAGACAACACAATACTCATGTTTTAACTTAGGATACCCATGTGTGGTGAAATAACTCTTATTTTCAATCACAATAAAAATAAGCATTTGTTATTCACACAAGTGTCCTTCAGAAAATAAATGTACCGGTAACATTTGGAATATGGATAAAATAACACCAATATAATATTTCAAACAAACCTATAGCTTAATAAATGCTGTACGTTGAGAGAAACAGAATAATCGAGTGGTTTTATTAATTCTTTTCATATGTTTTACTGTCCATTCTCACCAGAATGCTGTATTTTGCAGGTTTTTACAGTACTGCTGTGTTAGCCGGGACCTGTTGCTACTAAATAAGCTTATTCCATGTTTGTTCTTACATTAAAACCGTAATAAATAAAAATAGTTTATCTTTTTAAAAGTAATAACATTATTATTCTGGTGAGGAACTGTGATTACCATGGTGAATTTGCATAAAAACTCTGAGATAGTGTGTACAATTTGCTATAAAAATATGAATAAAAAAGTACATACATTTAAAATAAATCTATACAAAATAAACGCATTAAAAATAAACATATATAAATAAATACATTAAAATAAGTAAATAAATAAATAAAACTTTCGGGTAGCGGAACCAAATGTCGCAGCGCCCAGCGCTTCGGAATGTTCCGAGTGTGACACCGAGTGCTCCAGCATACAGCTGTGTGGGCCCATGTGGATCAGGCAGAATTGAGCAGAACAGCAGCTTTAATTCATCCCAAAATAAGCCGATACTTAACGCGAATGCGAGCACTTTAAGTCGTCCGTGTGTCTGAATTAGCGAAAATGTTGACGGAGGCGTTAGAGGGGCAGCTTACGGTGGTTTATAACACCGTCGCCGGTAAGTGTGACAGATATAATAAGATATTGAGTGTGTGTGTGTGTGAGATCTGCAGCATCCCGCTGACACACACTCACAGATTATTATTATTAATAATGTGCTTTTTCTGATTCATTAGCTGTGATTAGACTATTATGCGTTAGTGCTAATTCTGATATGAGGATAATCAGCTAACTTTAATTTTATTTATATAAAGATCAGTAGTGTTACTTAGCATTGGGTTCAGACTGTCTAAATATGCCACAGTAATCATATTAAAAGCATATCTTGCTTTGAATACAGCTGGCATGTATGATTTAATAGTGGATTTGTGTAATTAGTGATTTACTTTGACTTGTATTTCATAGCAGGCTATACTACAGCACATTATTTAATGTGTTCCTCATGATTTCTATTGTTTTGTTTTTCCATACAAACACATATTTCAATTTTTGCTCTTACAACACACATAAAAAGTTGTAACAGTAAAGCATTTACCACTTTGTGATGTCGCACAACACTTAAAAGATGTTTAAGGACTGAAGACACCAAGTGATGAAGTGTTTCAGGTGTAATTTTCTCCCTGTAAACAGGTCTTAAGGTGGGCAACAGTACTGTTTGTTGTCATATTTTGCACTACAATTTGCACCACACATTCTTTATTGGAGACAGGTCAGGACTGCAGGCAGGCCAGTCAAGTACCTAATTAGTCATTAACGCCATTATACAGTTCATGCTGATAATTTGAAGTGCTAGACACTATCTGTAAACATCAGTGTTTTGTATATAAGTAATAGCAGTTAATGTAATGATAATATTGCTTTGTGAGAAGTTTACAAATGTAGAAATATTATTGTTATTAATTAATGTTAAAGTGTAAATATTAATAATGATATCATACAAATCCCTGATGATATTTACTTTAAGTAATTAATAACAAAGAACATATACTGTAAAATGTTTTGGCTCAACTTTGTATTACTTTATAATTTTTTACTTTCTAATTATAATTATATAATTAATTATAATAGTTATAAAATATTATTCTATATAAAAATCATCAACATATGAATCAAATGTTTAGTTATTGTTCAGTGTAAATACATGTATGTAAAAATGAATTGCCCTAATTTCTCTGAATTGTAATATTTTTTTTTTTATACTTGATAACAATTGACATTTTAACACTCACCCTTTATAAATGAATTATATAACGCTACAAAATTATAATACTAATAAAACTGATATAAATGTATAATAATAATAAAGTACACGTTAGGGTTTAGGTGTTTAATCTTATATAAATATATATATTAATATTAATGAATAATATTAATATTATAATTTTAAATTAAATTGTTACTTGTAATTACATCATAATAAATGTATTAAATATAATACAATTTCGGATTTTGAATGCTCAATGGTGAAGAAGTTATTGTTTTAAATTTTGTGTTGTTCCTTTGGATCTTATAATGCAAAATGAAGGGGGGAAATTAACAAAACAGGAATATATTTTCCGTTGTTACAGTGTTGTAAATGTGTGTTTGTTGTGTGTGTGTCAGCCTCAGTGCAGGTTCAGGTGGAGCCGGTCGGCCGCTGGTTCGAGGCTTTTCTGAAGCGCAGGAACAGAAATGTGTCGGCTTCGTTTCAAGAGCTGGAGGAAGAGGAGGAGCTGTCAGAGGAAGAGGAGGATGAAGAGCTTCAGCTGGAGGAGTATCCCATGCTGAAGACACTGGACCCCAAAGACTGGAAGGTGTTTGTTGTTTAGTTTATTTGTATAATGTTTTCACTTTAATTTTTGTCCAGTCAAATGAATAGTGTGGACAGTATATATATATATATACACACAAAGTTATCATGCAGTTATTGCACTATAAATGTAATTATATAAATAGTGTTTGTTTTTTTTTCAAAAAGGTGATATCTATGTGATAGTACATTTTTAATTAAGTGTATTTGTGATAAAGTGTGTGGGTCAGAGACTGTGTGAGCTGAAATCACTGACACACTCCTCTTGCATTACAGAACCAAGATCACTATGCTGTTTTAGGTCTGGCACACGTCAGGTATAAAGCAACGCAGAAACAGATCAAAGCTGCTCGTAAGTTTGACTTTTATATTTCCTCAAATCAAATCTTTGATATTTTGTTATATATTTATTCATTCAAAACAGTGGCGTGATGTATTTGTTAATATAATATGATGATTTATGTTTTAATGATGTGCAAAATTATGTACTGTATTTACCACTGATAGTTATATTTCTTGATCTTATTAATATAATGACACTGAAGACTGAAGTAATGATGCTGAAAATAACAAATAAATGTTGTTATATATATTCTGATTTATATTTTTACATAATTATCGCTCTCTCCTGTCTAATAAAACTATTTATTTTCTTGTTTTTATGCACAAATGATGTAAATATTTCTTGTTTTGGTGTGCAAAGCAAATATTTCTTCTTTTTGTTTGTAAATAATGCAAATATTTTTTGTGCATCAAGCAAATCTTTTTTGGGTTTTTTTTGTGCACAGATAAAGCAACTTTTTCTTGTTTTTGTGCATAAATAAAGCAAATATTTCCTGTTTTTGTGCACAGACAAAGCGATGGTCCTTAAGCATCACCCAGACAAGCGGAAAGCAGCAGGAGAGCAGATTGTGGAAGGCGATAATGATTATTTCACATGCATAACTAAAGGTTTGAGCTCTATAACAAATGAGATGCATGACTTTTTATATGCTTTCTCCATTATCATTGAGGAATATTTAATGCTAATATATAATTTAAAACTAATCTGCAATTTCTACAGACACACTATTGCTGCAATTAATCAGGAAGTCATTTTTACCAACTGTGATCAGATTATATAATCCATGTCATATTGGATGAATTATGTAGAATATATATTGTAATTATATTACAATATATTATATTAGAATATGCATGTATAATATTGTAGAATTTTGTATTGCAAGGGGTTGCATTATGGATGTTATTTATATATATATATATATATATATATATAGATAGATAGATAGATAGATAGATAGATATATATATATATATAGATAGATATATATAGATATGTATTATTGTAATTGCTTTTCATATATATATACATTTTTTATTTTGTTATATTGTATGGTGAGCTCTGATGTGACATGTGAATTTCCCTTTGGGATTAACAAAGTTTAAACAAACAAACAACAACAGCAAAAGTGTCACCAGGATTTATTCTATCATATGTCTTATCTAATTTATGTTGTCATTTGCTTGTGTTTTTAATTGTATATTTATTAATGAAATGGTTTTGCTGTGAAAATAGCCTTTGTTATATATGTAATATGGCATTCAATAATAAAAATATGTGAATATATATGATTGCAGCAATAGAGATCCTGTCAGATCCAGTGAAGCGGAGAGCGTTTGACAGCGTCGATCCAACGTTTGACAATGCCGTTCCTACAAAAGCAGAAGGCAAAGAAAACTTCTTCGAGGTGTTTGCACCGGTGTTTGAGAGGAACGCCAGGTAAAATAATCAGAGATGAGGGATTAATAGCATTGATATGGCACATTTACTGATGCATTTCTTCCCTTCAGGTGGTCTGTTAAAAAGCACTTCCCCAGTCTGGGAACTATGGAGTCATCGTTTGAAGATGTGGATAATTTCTATTCATTTTGGTGAGTTGAATATTAATAGCATGCATTGATTTTTGAGCCAAAATGATGTGAAGTTCATGCACTCCCCCAAAAAACTAATCATATACTTATTTTCTTTGCCTTTCTAAAGGTACAACTTTGACTCCTGGAGAGAATTTTCCTATTTAGACGAGGAGGAAAAGGAGAAGGCTGAATGGTGAGGAAGTTTCTGCTGTCATGTGTTATTGGTTGAATATTTACTGTACATTGTTATTATAGTTCACACCTTAATACCCTAAACCAGTGGTTCTCAAACCCTTTTTTATCAAGTACCACCTCAGAAAAACAATTGTCTCTTCAAGTACCACTAAAATGAGCAGTATTGAAATACAGTAGCGCAGTGGGCTTAATAAAGCAGCTACAACTCTGCACAGTTCAAATAACCTGGCAGATTATCTCAGAAATATAGGCTATATGTCATATGTGGCATATTATATCCATCATTCTTGATAAATTTTTAAATGTGTGTAGCATGTACAAGACATATTTCATTCCTCCGCATACCACTAAGGGAAGCCTGCGTACCACTAGTGGTACACGTACCACAGTTTAAGAACCACTGCCCTAAACAAACAGCTTAAAAAAAATTATACTGCAGTGAGACTATATATAGATGACATTTTTTACTTTTTTAGAGTTTTATTTATGATATTTACATACTATTATTTATTAAACTGAGTAATATTCACTCTTTGTAATGCTTTTATCTATGCTGATCTGGCAATAAGTAAACAAACTCAAATCTGTCCTTCAGTCGAGATGAGCGGCGCTGGATTGAGAAGCAGAACCGAGCATCTCGAGCACAGAGGAAGAAGGAGGAGATGAACCGGATACGGACCCTTGTTGGTGAGCAGAAGATTATAGGATCAATATCCGCTCTTTTAGGGCTAGACATTATATAGATTCAGCACTGATATGGCAATGTGTGCATCTGCAGCAGTCACAACTCAGGATCTGCAATGTGGAGTTTTACATTTATGGAGCCACAGTTCATAACATGAGATTTGTGGAGTCATTGATGATTTTTTTACTGACATAATGAGAGAAGAATCTGACATAATGGAGCATAACTGTGTCATTTGCATGTGCTTTAAGTCCTGTGACTCTATGAGCATGTCCACACTTTAAAGATCTCCTGGAGATCGACCTTCCTTTAGATTTCAGTTGCAACTCATATCAAACACACCTGCCTGTAATTATCAAGGGAGATCTCCAGGAACCGGCTTGAGCAGCCCTGATCTAAAGCATTCAGGCACAAGAAACAGCATCATTTGTAGCTTGAAAAAATATTTTATTTAATTATTTATACATTAAAGACTATTTTACATTTGGTTATTTAATTTCTGTACCTGAATTCTTACCAAATAGAGATATTTAACCCATCTGGCGAAATTGCATTCATATTGCATGATGTATATATTTCTGAAAAACATTGCAGTGTCAGATTTTTCCGATATCGTGCAACCCTAGCTTTTACTGTGATCGCCTGTGCGTGTGTGTTTGCAGACACGGCCTACAATGCTGACCCGCGGATAAAGAAGTTTAAAGAGGAGGAGAAAGCCAGGAAAGAGTCTGAGAAGAAGGCCAAAGTGGAGGCCAAGAAACGAGAGCAGGAGGAGAAAGAGCGGGTCAGTGCTGACAAACACTTGCTGTTTTTTTGTTATTATCGTTTTTGTAATATTTCTTCAAACTAATAATCGATGTCAAGGGTAATAATCTCAGAATTATGTGTATTTCTCTCTGTTTTTGAAATTGCACACACACATATATATATATATATATATATATATATATATATATATATATATATATAT